TGATTAAGAGGCTAATCCCTACCCCGTTCGAGGCGGGGCCCCGTTGGTATCGAGTTTGATGGAGTTTTTTGCCATCCATATCCTTAATGCATTTTTGTATGTTCGTATTTGTCATAAAAATATAGTCGGGTCACGTTTGAGAATATGTTTAATTTTACTCGAGAGATTATTGCACAAATTAGGAATATTGATCTTCATTACTGAATCATATTGTCAAATTGTAAGATTCGAAGATAAAGGAGATTGATACAAGGGATTTAGAATCCTAGTGCATTTTTCATCATTATATATATTTTTTTATCAAACTTGTATAAATCACAATCTTGCATCGAATTTAGTTAATTTAAGTCTTGCATTCATAGATATATTAGTTGATCACAATATAGAAATATCACAAATTTTCATTGTTTCGTTTAGGGCTAAGTTAATTCGAACTTGAACTAGTGCAATTTCTGTGGGTACGATATTTGGGCTGAAAATTCATTTTACTATTTATTAACGAACTGTACACTTGCGATAATTTCAAACGAAGAATAGTTTTGCAACAAAACCATGATATACTATATGTGATCTTTAAATATTCATAAACCCTTAATTAGAGAAGGCAACGGGACGAGTCGGGGCAATCTCTCCCACCTTGTTACCTATTTAAGGAGGGGAGGTTGGGACCCTTGTTCCGTTTACTACCCGTTCAATTTTTTTTCTAATAATTAATTTTATTGTCCCCATTTATTAAAGTGAGACAATAATGTATTTATTAATTTTATTAAATTTTTATTTATTTTTAAAAGGTAAATTATTCAAATATATTTAGTAAATTAAAGTTTTTATTGTTTGTCATATTTTTTTAGATAATCTTATTTGTCATATTCTATTAGAACTAATAAAATTTCGTTGAGTTTTCTATATAAAGTATTGATTTTTTTTAAATGAAAAATTAAACAGGGCAGAGCGGGTTGGGGTGGGGTGGGGTGGGGTGGGACCCTTGTTGCCCTTACCTATCCCGATGCGAAGTTTCCTGCCCCGTCCTCGACCCGAATATTTGATTAAGCGGCTAATCCCCACCCAATTCAAGGCGGGGCCCAAGTTTGACAATTTTTTTTTGCCATCTCTATCCTTAATGCATCTTTGTATATTATCATATGTCATAGAAATATAGTCGAGTCGCGTGTGAGCATATGTTTAATTTTACTCGAGAGAGATTACTCACAATTTAAGAATATTGATCTTCATAATTGAATCATGCTGTCAAATTGTAAGATTTGAAGTTAGAGATTGACAAAAAGGGATTTAGAATTTTAGTGCATTTTTCATCATTATATTTCTATCAAATTTGCATTGAACATAATCTTGCATTGAATTTAGGAAATTTATGTCTTGCATTCATAGATATATTTGTTGATCACAATATAGTTATAGAAAAATCACAAATTTTCATTGTTTCAATTAAGTATAAGTTAATTCGAACTTGAATTAATACAATTTCCGTGGGTAAGATGCTTGGACTGAAAATTCACTTTGCTATTTATTAACGAACCGTACATTTGCGATAATTTCAAACTAAGAATAGTTTCGCAACAAGACCATGCTATACTATATGTGATCTTTAAATATTTATAAATCTTTAATTAGGGATGTCAATGGGGCGGGTTGGGGCAACCTCTCCCACCCATCTACCTGTTTAAAGAGGGGAGGGGAAGCGAGGCGTGGGGTGGGGTCCTTGCTCCGTTGACTACCCGTTTAATTTTTTTTCCCTGATAATTCTTTTTATTGCCTCCATTCATTAAAGTGATACAATTATATATTTATTAATTTTATTAACTTTTTATTTATTTTTAAAAGGTAAATTATTCAAATTTATTTAGTAAACTAATGTTTTTATTGTTTGTCATATTTCTTAGATAATCTTAGTTGTCATCTTCTATTAGAATTAATGAAATTTCGTGGAATTTTCTATTTAAAGTATTGATTTTTTTTTTTTAAATTAAAACTTAAATGGGGCAGAGCGGATTAGGTTGGGTTGGGGCAAGACGGGGCGGGGTGGGGCCCTTGTTGCCCTTACCCGCCCCTTCTTCGACCCGAATATTTGATTAAGCGGGTAATCCCCACCCAGTTTGGGATGTGGCCAAAGAGTGACAATTTTTTTTTGCCATCTCTATTCTTAATGCATTTTTTTTATGTTAGCATCTGTCATAAAAATATAGTCGAGTCGCGTGTTAGAATATATTTAATTCTACTCGAGAGAGATTATTACACAATTTAATAATATTGATCTTCATAATTGAATCATGTTGTCAAATTGTAAGATTCAAAGTTAAAGGAGATTGACAAAAGAGGATTTAGAATTCTAGTGCATTTTTCATCATTACATTTTTATCAAACATGCATTGATCACAATCTTGCATTGAATTTAGTTAATTTATGTCTTGCATTCATAGATATATTAGTTGATCACAATATAGTTTCGAACTTTAATTAATACAATTTCTGTGAGTACGATATTTGGACTAAAAATTCATTTTATTATTTGTTAACGAATCGTATACTTGCGATAATTTCAAACGAAGTTTCGCAACAAGACCATGCTATACTTGTAGCTTATGTAAGAGACAGAGTAATTAATAAAAAAATGCATTTATTTCGTTTACATATTTAAATGGTATAAACCTTTGTTATTAACCAACAAGGGAATAAAGAAAGAATGCATGAAGGAAAATAGAATATAAAGCTTTTTATGGCTTCTATATATAACACACACTTGTGCCTACATTGCTACAGTTTTTTGTAGTATCCTTGCATATTGAAAGAAATGCCCTCCAAATGTTCTTTTTAATTAACTCAATTAATGGCCTGGTCCTCTGGGGCTGGGTCCAGATGGTAAACGTTCAAGCCAGTAAGACATGGTGTATTTTGCCTTCTCGTACATTGCCGGAAAGGTAGCAAGGTGATTCGATGCAGATAAATCTTCCGATAAAACTCTTGCTGCCTCAACTCGGACCTCACTAGTAACAGCAACAAAGATAAAGAGGATGATCAATAAAGTGCAAGCCCTCCTGAATTCCATCGAGACTCGTAAATATATCTGTTCTTGAACAAAGAAAGAATGCAGAACTTCTGTATTCTCAATTCCCTTTGCTGGGTGGATATGTGAATCTAGCATGGCAAGACAACATTTATAGGAGATTTTGTTGGACTAAATGTAATACTTTGAATTGGAAAAATAATTTTACTAAGTAGCATTTGTTGAATGGCATTAAGATTAAGGACTTAAGGTTACGTGTTGAACAATGAAATGTTGGAAAAGGTCATGCATGCCGATTGTATGGCATCATCTGAGGGGCTGATGTTTTGGCGGGCATTACGAATTTGTCAACATAGAATATGAAATTCCGAAAATGACCTTGTCAGCTGTGTTTCTGCAAATTGATTGGATGCTATACTTGGTCGTTACGTAAAGAGGGGTAAAATGGGTAGTACAGATAAAAAAATTTGACTCATAAAATTACGTGAGTCTAATGTTTGATTTTTTCTGTTGACTGAATGCGTCAAGTACTTTGTGTTGAATAGACTGCCGTTTAGAAAAGGAAATTTGTGTTCCAACTTACATGAGAAGCCACACAGAGGCTGCCCAAGAGTTTTAAATTACTATATTGTCCTTTCATTATTTCATTATTATTTTTTTTCAGCAGCTTGAGCGTTGACTTTAAAAGGGTTTTCTCATTCAAATGCTTTCATCATTTAATTATAGTTGTTACTATTGAATGTCTTTCTTTCTTTATGAATAAAAACAGCGACATATTTTATAGATATTCAATAAAAATAGTAAAATCAACAACAAAAACTAAATTACGTGTACTAAACAAATTCTATTTTACATTTGTTCCAAATAGATTGCTGATTTATTTAAATTGTTGAGAAATTACGTATGAACAACATAATTGTCAGGGACGTATACAGTGAGGGGCTGGGCTGTAGCCCCCCCAAAGGCCCCAAAGATTTTTTTTGTTGTAAAGGTTTTTTTCTTTTTCCCGCATTAGCCCGATTTGAAATTTTGTAGCCCGGTCTTGGATTCAATCCTGGATGGCTGGATCTGTCCCTGATAATTGTCATGGATTTTGACTCAAATTAATTAAAAGGAAAAGAAAGAAAATCATGGGGAAATGTAATTTTACCAATTTTAAGGGACAAAAGTGTAATTAAATAATGTGCAATAGCATAAATATGAAGACTCATGGAAAATTAATTAACAAAGAAAATAAATTCCGCAGCCAAGGTTTTGGAAGATTGAAAACACGGGCAACCGAGGAAAATAAAACAGGGCACGAACTGGTTAAGGAAATAACGTTAGGGTTACTAAAAACTTATCACACGTGAGTATTCTAATTTTGTGTGAGGAGAATGATGCACACATAAAGACTATTGAATGGTCTCACCCGAAAGCAACTAGCTAGGCACCTCAAACGGCCCATGTTGCTGCTGGGTTTCAGTTATTCTAGTGAGCCATGCTTGTCTTATTTTTTCTATGGATCTTATTTTTCTGAATCTAATATTATTATTCTCTGGTTCTTGAGAAATTCTTCATCATCTTCTTCTATTTTTTTTAATTTCTGGAAAAAACTCATTACAGACTCTTCTCTGTAATGATTCTGTGTGTTTAAAATGATCTGGTGTGAGTCAAAAGAATGATCTGGCTTGGCTGGTGGGCGTGCAATTGAAGGACTCAACTGCGGTAGATTCTTTTAACTGTTGTAAAATTGCTCTTTGTAATAAAAAATTAGTTGTTATGGGGGTTTAACCTTACAATCATGATGTTTCTTTCGGGAATTTGGTTAAACTTCTATCAAGTTAGATCAAATTCCTACTTTGTTTTGCTTAAACCTAAAGTTTGCTGTCATTATGAATTGGTTGTTACTATTTACAATAGAAATAGGAGTTCTTTCAATTCTTTTTTGAGTTCTTGATACGATTTGTCGCCCACATCATTCTATTATCAGAGCTGCAACATCGTTCCGGTCGTGATGGCTACCTAGGAGATGACGAAAGGCTGCTTAAGAAATCCCAGTTGAAGAGGCGACGTTATGTGATAAGAACCAAAATATGCATCGTCAAATGGAGAAGCTCATGGCCGAAATGGCATCCTTGTGCACTGCGCAGTAGTCTCATGGTGGTGGTGTTACCAACTATTGGGACTCCCAACCCTTGGACTCTTATCAATGAGATTCCATTTGCCGATGTAATACAATTAGTAAGTATGGTATCTAACGACCTACAATATCTCCATGATGGATAAAAATATGAAAAAGAATACATTCAAACAAAGATTGCACAAAGCACAAGGACATGTGTATCCCATATCGGATTCAACATTACTGGATAAAAACATGGTAAAACTGATATTAATGGAGTTGTTTGATGCTCATTATTGAGAAGAAAATACATTTTATGATGTGATGTGATGAAAAATATAAGGAAAATTTTTGGATTTACGTATAATATTATTTTATTGAAGAATGCGTTGCGAAAATGAATATTGAAAGAATGAATTTTGGGAAGAATGTGTATCAAATAGGAAGCTAAACCTCTCTAAACTAATATAAATCACAAATAAGTTCAAATGATGATCAACCATTCATACATCACAAATACTTAGTAAATAATCAACTTGACATGATTTAATAGTAAAAAAAAATGAGAAATCTTGAATTAAAACTTCAAAAAAGGTTTACATAGTCATCCTAGAGTAAAAGAGTTTAGCTTAGCATCAAAAACACATAATTATTTGAGAATACACCACCTGGACTCTATAAGGAAGAAAATTAATAGAAGACTAATCTTTCACTCATATGTCTTCAAAAAGCTCTTGAACAAGCTTCTTCTTCTTAATTGAGAAGTAAGCAAACCAGGGACGAATCCAGAAGTTTTGTTCAGCTAGGGCGGAGTTGCGGTGACCGATAACCGATCGTTATACTCAAAGCATGTTTCCTATACTCAAAGCACCCGCAACAAAAATTAATATTTAAAATTGATTGGATTTGGATTTTGGAGTACGTGTCACCAGTCAAAACCCCATAGTAATTTATAAGATTAAAAGAGAAATGGAGAAAAGAATATTTAACCCACTTACCCAGAGACATTTCCTAATGTGTATGCTAAGATATGAAAAGATTTAGACAACACCAGAGCATTCCATAAGTAATAATTATGCAAGGTGGGGAGCCACGTATAAACTCTGAAAACTTAAACTGTAGTGCTAAATGTTAACTTCAAATTACTTACCAAAAAACACCACAGGCCTTCAAGGGGGGAGAGGGAGAGAGAGAGAGAAAAGTACATAAAATTTTTGCATTATCTAACAAAAGAGTCGGCACTAATTTTTTACTTCAGAAAGTGTAGAAGAAGTGCTGTATAAATT